AAGGCTGGACCCTCGGCTCCTATGGTGCCTTCTGGTATATGTACCACGTCTGAGGATGGACCCTCAGCTGCTGTGGTGCCTCCTTGTACACGTACCACAACTGAGGTTGGACCCTCGGCTCCTGGTACCACGTCTAAAGTTGGACCCTCGGCCATGGTTCAGAATGGTCTGCTCTTGTAGTCGGTAGGCATCGATGTCGGGATATGACCTCTGTGCCAAACGCCAGACAATTTACCTCATTGTTTTTGTTCAACTTGTACTATGTCGATGTGGCGAATCTATTCCTCAAAATGACAATGTACAGGTTCAATATGCGTGTCATTCGTGGGTGGGATCATTAAGAAACATTATTTTTCTCTTTTGATTTAGGCAGTAGTAATGAGCAATAGGAAATATTGCAGAATCACTTACTTGGCAGAAGAAGACTAATTTCTGTCCAATGTCTATGATTGTTTCCTCTCTCAAGTTCCAGTCAATTTCAATCACCATTTTCTTTGGTCTGATTGCAGGCGTGACCGAAATCTTCGTTACGTTGGCGTACTTCTTATTACCTTTGCCAAGAAGTTATGTTTTGGGGAGGTTAGGCCACATCAATTTAATTTGTTGGTTCTCGGATTCGCCTCTTCATTTTTTTTTCTGATTTGCAAAAAAGATTCTGGTTCTGAATCAGCTCAAAAATGCTTATGTTTTGCCCCCAACCGTTGCTGATTTTGAGGAAAGTCCTTTTCTTCCTAGTTGTTACAGATTTTCCATCTATCAATGCATGCGCAGTGGTTTGATTAAAAGTTCAAAATTCATTGTTGAAATATGAACCCAGCCTTTTGTGTTGACTTCATCGCTCCTATCGTAGCATTCAGTGCTATAATAGGATGCCTAGATCTATTTTATTCCTATTTTTTCACCCTGCCGCTTCATATTTTTCTGAAAAAATCCGAGAACCATTAAATTATATTGGTGTGACCCTAACATCAAGGTATGCGGTCGTGGAACTCATCTCAAACTGAGTTGGGGAACTGATCTCTGTTTTCCGACATTTTCAGATGGAAGGTCTGCTATTCCGGGTGGCGGGACATGAGGACTACCCGGCTATGCTGAGGGTGTCGGAAGGCGTTCACAACGGCTGTGACTTCCTCCCCGCACTCTTCCACTGCTGGGTGGACCAGCACAACAGGACAATCCACCTAGCGGAATTGGATGGAACCGCAGTAAGTCCAGTATACACACTATACATATCAAACCTCCCTACTATCAGGCTTTATGTATTGGATTACATTATGTAGCAAGTGACAGGACAGAGGTGTAGGGGTTGGTCACTGTATTACTAGTACTGTACATTATGTAGCAAGCGACAGGACAGAGGTGTAGGGGTTGGTCACTGTATTACATTATGTAGCAAGTGACAGGACAGAGGTGTAGGGGTTGGTCACTGTATTACATTATGTATCAAGTGACAGGACAGAGGTGTAGGGGTTGGTCACTGTATTACATTATGTGGCAAGTGACAGGACAGAGGTGTAGGGGTTGGTCACTGTATTACATTATGTGGCAAGTGACAGGACAGAGGTGTAGGGGTTGGTCACTGTATTACATTATGTGGCAAGTGACAGGACAGAGGTGTAGGGGTTGGTCACTGTACACATGGAAGTGATTCAGTAAGAACAAACAGATCAGTACAGTTGTTAAGCTAGAGTCCTGCCAAACCATACATCCCCATGTGAAGGCAAACATCATGCATTTTTTTTGCAAAACTTACCTTTCTAGTTCCCTATGTTTCCGCAGGTTGGTCTAATCAGTACGTACATCGTGGACGGCGGGGACACGGTCCTGGTGCAGGCCTGGCGGGTCCACCCGAGCTGCCGGGGGAAGGGCGTGGGGCGGCTGCTGCGCCAGTACGCGCTGAACCAGGCCCGGCAGCAGCACCCGGGCCTCAGGCGGGAACGCTACTCCGAAAACGCCGCCATCTTCGACTCCAAGACCCGGACAACCGACGACGGGGTGAGGGAGGTCATGAGACAGGTAAACGGAGGCCCTGTTTATGTTCACAAAATTAATCCGGATTAATCCGAATTTGTCGTCAATCCGAATTAATCCGGATTGACTTAGCGGATTGCCCCTTTTTTTAAACCAAAAATGTTTGGCGTCGAAAATTTGACTGATGGTGCAAAAGTGGGAAGAAGTTACTCTTCATACAATCGTATGAGTAGTAATTCATTGTGCGATGTAATTCAATTGAGTAGTTCCCTCTGACCATGCGATAGAGGGTCTGCGTTCCCTTTTCCGTTAAACG